TGTCTGACTATGACTGATGTTTGCAGACAGAAAAGTTCATGACTAAACAAGGAATAAAGAGGAACATAGACAATAAAATGGAGCATTTTTATTACATAAAATTAAAAAGCTTTTGTATAAAAAATAGTTAAGATTTTGGGGTTTTTTTTTTGCTTTTTGGCAAGGCAATCAGGGTTAAGTGACTTGCCCAGGGCCACACTGTAAGTGTCTGAGGTCAGATTTGAACTCAGGTCCTCTTGAGTCCAAGGCCAGAGCTCTATCCACTGTACCACCTAGCTGCCCCTAAAGTTAAGATTCAAAGGGAAACAAATAACTTGAAAAAAAATCTTTGCAGTGTTTCTAATAGAACATTCTGGAACTGATAAATGGCCTAAGGATATGAATAGACAGTTCTCAAGGGAAGAAACTCAGGCTATTTATAGCCACACACTACTAATTAGAGAAATGTAAATTAAAGCAGTTCTGAGATTCTACCTCACACCTATCAGAGTGGCAAAAAAAAAGGGGGGGGAATAATAAATATAGAAGGGGCTAGGGGAAAACAGGCACATTGATACATTGGTGGTAGACCTGTAAATAGGTGCTGTTTTGTTGTTGTTCAGTCACAACTGACTCTTTGTGACCCCGTTTGGGGTTTTCTTGGCAAAGATACTGGAGGGGTTTGCCATTTCCTTCTCCAGCTCATTTACAGATGAGGAAATTGAGGCAAACAGGGTTAAGTGACTTGCCCAAGGTCACACAGCTAGTAAGTGTCTGAAGCTAAATTTGAACTCAGGTGTGGCACTCTATCCACTGAGCCACCTAGCTACCCCATGTGAATGGGTACAACCATTCTAAAGGAAAACAATTTGGAGTTAAACACAAAAAGTTACTAAACAGTATGTGTCCTTTGGCCCAGCTATACCACTACTAGGCCTGCACACAAAAGTGATCAAAGAAAGCTGAAAAGGTCTTTTATGTACAAAAATATTTATAGCAGCTCTTTTTGTTGTGGCAAAAAGTAGGAAACTAAAAGGATGTTCAATAACTGAGGAAGGGCCAAATTTGGTCTTGTTGTTTGGTCATTTTTCAGTCTTGCCTGACTCTTCGTGACCCCATTTGGGGTTTTATTGGCAGAGATACTGGAGGGGTTTGCCATTTCTTTTTCCAGCTCATTTTACAGATGAGGAAACTGAGGTAAACAGGGTTAAGTGACTTGCCCAGGTCACACAGCTAGTAGGTGTCTGAGGCCAGCTTTGAACTCATGAAGATAGATGTCTTCCTGATTCCAAGTCCACTGCACCACCTAACTGCCCCTGTGGTATATGGATATGATGGAAGACCATTAAGATGTTGATTTCAAAATGAGATAAGAGAGGCAACTAGGTGGAGCAGTGGATAGAGTAACGGCCCTGAAGCCAGGAGGACCTGAGTTCAAATCCGGCCTCAGACCAAACACTTGACACTTACTGACTGTGTGACCCTGGGCAAGTCACTTAACCCCAATTGCCTTAAAAAAAAAATGAGGTAGAGAGATTCATATGAACTGGGGCAGAGTGAAGTGAGCAGGAACAGAACAATTTATACTCTAACATCAGTGTTAGCAAAATGAACAATTTTAAGGATTTTCATAAACTGATAAACAATGAAATGAGCAGAACCAGGAGAATAATTTGTACAATAACAACACCGTAAAAATGAACTTTGAAAGCTGTAAGAATTATGACCAATACAATGATCATTCATGATTCCAGAGGACCAATGATAAAACATGCTGTCCATGCCAAAGAAGTGAGTGACTTTGAAGTGCAGAATGAGACATAGCTTTATTTTTGTATACATCAACTAAGGGAATTTGTTTTCCTTGACTGTGCATATTTGAAACAAGAAATTTGCTTTTCTTTTATTTCTTTTAAACAGGTCTGGGGGATAGGATGGGGAGAGAATATGTTTCTGTATGGTCTTGATCATTTTTAATAGAGAGATTATGGGAGGCTACAAGTGTGAAATGTTTACTGGCACTTTCAGATGGTATCACTATTGTTAATTTTACTTAATGGTTTTACTTTGTAATGAGGGAACTTTCATGTAGTAAAAATAATCTGTAAATATATTCAAAGTACAAACAACACACATCAATAAAATACAATTAAAAAAAGAAAAACAAACAAAAAGGAAGCAGATCAATGAGCAAGACGGGACTGCTATTGCCACCACGACACATCGGGTGTGCACACCGAACCTGTACCGTCACCTGTCAGTCCTAGCCCCCTGCACCTTAACCTACTCTGTCCCCCTTCTGCTGTACTCTCCGGAAAGCATGTTCTCTTCGTTAAGAAAGCCCCCTTCTTGTTAGATTTCTTTCTCTCCTCCTTCCATCTTCTTGCAATTGCAGGAACCTGGGTCCCCTTGTATCCCTGGTTCTTCTCTTCAGTATCCTATGCATCTTCTCTCTTTTGCCCACACATTAGGCCAAGAGGAGAGGTACATGTGCTTCTACCATCTCCCTGCCACTCCCAGACTGTCCACCCACCACTATCGATCAGCGATTCTGGGGTTCGTTCCAGCCATGTTGCTCTTGGTGACAGTCATCTACCAGGCCGCTCAAGTCATTTCTCCTTCCTTTCTCAAGGAATTCAGTACCTGGCTCAGAGACCTATTTTCCATCTCAAGCCATGCCCTTTAACCTGCAGATTGACGTCTCCTCCTGGTTCATCAATATCCTTGACTCCCACAATCTGCACACTCCCAACAGCTCAACGCAGGGATGGACACGTCCTTGATCACCATTTCTCCCATTTCATCCATAATTCTCAAAGGCCTCTTGCTGTTTGGACCCTCCTGTGGGTACTGCCCTCCCTTGTCTTCCTCTCCTGACCCTGTTCAATTTTACCACAGTCTCCATTCACTCTACTCACTCTCTGGTTTCCCAGTCCATCATCTTCATTCTGGTCTCACCTTGTTTCATTTTGAACTCTCACCCTATAATTAACTTTACATTGTCCTCTATCCTCTGCTTCATGGCCGAACTCATGGAAAAAGCCATTTGTACTCATTGTCTCTACTTTTTAACCTTTTTTTTCAAAGGTTATACATGTACAATCATGTTAAACATATTTCCACATTAGTCTTTAATCTCCTTAACATCTGGTTTGTGACCACACCACTCAACTGCAACTTTTCTCTCCAAGGTCACCAATGATCTTTCCGTTGCCAAATTTTTCTCCTCAATCTACCTCTTTCTTGCCCTTTCTGCAGCATTTTACAGTGTTGGTAAATCCTTCCTCTTCTCTGTTTTCATGACACTGTTCTCCCTTTGTTCTTCTCCTCCATGTCTGACTGAGCTTTCTCAATCCCCTTTTCAATATCATCATTCCCCTCCCACTACCTATGTGTATGTGCACTCCAGGGAGAGCCCTCTTTACATACTTTCTTGGTGATGAAATCAGCTCCTATCAATTCAACTCATCTCTATGGAGATGACTCCCAAATACATATATCTACTTCCCATTCCTCTTCTGTGCTTCAATTGTCTCTCAGACATTACCACTGGGATGTCCTAGAGTCATCTCAGACTCAAACTCAAGATGTCCAATACTTATTAGCTTTCTCCCTAATCCCATCCCTCCTCTTAACTTTCCCTATTTCTGATTTGAGTCAGACAGATTCCCAGTCTTGAAGGAATCCCTAACTCTCCCTTCTTACCTCTCCTTATGAGTAATCATTATCTCATTTCTGGAATATTATAAAAGCCTTTTCATTGGTCTATTTGTACCCAACTCTCCTCTTTCCAACTCATTCTCCACGCTGCGGCCAAGTTGATATTCATAAAGCATGGTTTTGACTATGCCATTTCCCTTAAGAGGCAGCTGCTAGATGGCCCAATGGATAGAGTTCAGGGCCTGAAGACAGGAAGACCTGAGTTCAAATTCGGCCTCAGACATTTACTAGCCGTGTGACCTTGGGAAAGTCGCTTGACCTCCATCTACCTCAGTTTCTCCAACTGTAAAATGGGGGTCATATTAGCACCTACCTCTCAAGGTTATTGTGAGGATCAAATGAGATATTTGTAAACGGCTTAGCACAGTACCTGGCACATAGTAGGTGCTTAATAAATGTTCTTTCCTTCTTTCCTTCCTTCCTTCCTTCCTTCTCAAGTGACTCCCTACTTCTACTGGAATAAAATACAAATTCATGCGTAGCACTGAAAACTTTTCCCAGTCTGGTTCCACGATTACACACCAAGCCCCCTTCCCACAGTTTACCTGAGGCCTAATTGCTGACTTGCTGTTCTCCACACATGACCTTCTACTGGCCTTTGCACAAGCTGGCCTCCAGGCCTGGAATGCTCTCCCCGCTCCCCTGTCAGATCCCCTAGATCCCTTCAAGGCTCAGCTCACCCATCTCCTACAAGATGCCTTCCCTTATTCCTCTGGTCATTAGGGAATCAGGAATTCCCATCATTCCTCTAGACACTTCTCTACACCAAAATCCATCCAGTAGTAGAATATGAACTCTTTGAGGACAGACACTGATTTGTGTCTGTTTCCCCAGGACTCAGCATTGTGCCTGGTATACAATATGTGCTTAATAAATACTTGTTGAATTTCACTGTGGAAAGCTCTCCAGGAGGTGAGCCTCCTCTTGGGAGTTCCGCTGAGATCTGGCTGGGTTCAGTCTTGCTGGAAGTCAGTGGGTGCTTTGGCTGGGCTCCTGCCAAGGACCTTTGGTTGAACCAGCAGGGCAGCAGGTACTATGGTCTCAAGTAACAACGCCAGCTCTCCTGTGGCGTGAAGCTGGGCCCCAGGCAACATCCGGAAAGGCGCTCAGGAAAATTGGGTAACACGGCCCATGTGCTTATCACCCCAAGGTCTCTCGATAACAGAGGTGCAGAGGAAAAGAAATGATGAAGACGAATCTCTAGACACCACCCCACCCTAAGTAGGGAAAGGCAAGACCAGTGTATGACTGGTGGGGCACAAATATATAAGGAGAAGGCAATTCTGCTTAACCCCATCACCATGGCCTGCCTGGGACTCCTGTGGTGTTTTGCCTTCATTGGCACCTCTTTAGTTAAGTGTTAGGGTCCCCTCGGGGAAAGAGGAAGGGATATTTCCACGGGCAGGCTCTCCATTGACAGTAAAGAAGGGCTCTCTCCTAACCTGAAATATCTAGGCAGGGTGGTGAGTGCCGTGTGTGTGTGTGTGTGTGTGTGTGTGTGTGTGTGTGTGTG